CTTTTCCTCATCGGTGAATGGGGATGATAATGTGCCCGCACAGGACTGTGGGAAAGGTCAACTGAGCTCACATACACAAAGCCCCCAGAAGGAGTGATTAGCACTATTCTTCATCCTTCTGACGCCAAGAGAGGGCTGGCACCCTGTTCCAAGCCCATGGCCCCGTGGTGTTTGGCAGAAGACACAGTTTCCCTGCTCAGCTAGCGACACCTCAGAAGCACCTGGCATGCCCACACCTGCCTGCCTGAGGGCTCTGATCTTTGTTAAAGCCCCTCCATCCATGTGGAAGCACAGCTCAGGTTTAGAGAGCTTCTCCCCCAGACAGGAAATGCTGGGCCTTTCACCGTGACCCCCCATCACCACCCACATCTGCAGCAGATCCTAAACACTGGCACACAAGGATGTCTGCCACCCATCCACTGCCTGGCTCTGGCTCAGCCCCCCTTTCTCCCTGGGCAGGAGCCGCCCCCCAAATTGGCCTCCTGCCTCACTGTCCTCCAACCCTCCTTCACACTCCACCAGGCCCCCTTTCTGAAACAACGCTGCCTGGCCCTGGCTGGGGTTGAGAGGAGCCTAGGGACAGGCTCCAGGCTCCAGCCCAGCCTCTCTCCTCCCAGGAGAGCTGCCCTAGGGAGGCCTGTTCAGACGGGCTGCCTGGCCCTCACCCATCGGGTGCGCAGCGCAGGCTGGCTCACTGAGCACCCACTCATCGCCTGCTCTATTTCCATCACTTGGAACAGATGGCAGGAAGTGGCGGTGGGCGTCGCATCGTGCGGCCCTGAGTGTTTGGAACGGGAGGCTTCTGGAATCCTCAATTCCCCGCCCGCCCCTGGACAGAGAGATGTGGGCGAGGCAGCGTGGCTGATGAGGGGGAGCTGGGTTTGTCATGAGTCCCTGCAGACACCTGCATGGGCACGTGTTTGAACACACACACACACACACACCCCTGGCGCTTCCTTTCTCAGAGCCCTGGAGTAGGAGAGGGGAGAACTGGCCTCTGGTGACTGCCACCTGGGCCAGGACGCAAATCCTCCGCTCCCTACCACGTGCTGCCTGGGAGGTGAGAGTCTCACTAACTCAGCCGTCTCACCCACAGCTGCTCACTGACCATATTCTATTGTCCAGTCTTTCCGGGCTCCACCCAGTCACCAGAAAACAGGGACATTGACACCTCCGGGCTTCATGGAGCTCTCACTGTGCTCCGGGGTGTGCTAACAGGATTAGTATAAGATCTCATTTGCCTAGGAGGTCGATGATGTTTCCCCAGGAAAGTGAGGACACCTCGGCACAGAGGAGCTGCATAACTTGCCCAAGGACATGCCGTCTGCTGGTGAAAGGCTGGGGCTGAGGGACTGAGGCCAGATCGGCTGGTGCAGAGCCAGGCTAGCAGCCCACAGGAGCAGCCATGTTATCTCTCCAGGCCCCAGGTTTCCTGGTAAATGGTGTATATGGGCGCTGTGATGGGCCAGGGTACATATGTTGTGAATGTGGGCGAGGATCTATGTCATGGCACTTTTGGTGGTGATCCAGACCTCGACACCCAGCCCCACTGGTCAGCACATGGCCCTGACTCATGTGTGAACTGAACGAGGGCTATACATATATTTGAGTTCCAGGTGCAGAAACTGAGGCCCAAGGAGGGGATGGGCCCTGCCCGGACCCACAGACTCTACAGGGAAGAGTTGGGCTAGGATTGGCTCTCTGGAGTCACTGCCTAGATTGCCCAACTTGAGAAAATCTTAAAACGGCCAGGATGGACTGGGCATCCGCAGCAGGGGGGAGGGGGTGGGGGAGAAACAGGTTTGCCTCTTGATGCCCTGGAAGTGCCCAAATGCAAAAGGTGGGGGGGGGCAGCGCTGGGGTGAGGGACAGTGCTGAGGAGGAAGCTGGAGAGAGCAGCAGCTGCTGTGCCCAGCTGAGCCAACATGGGCACAGGCAGGCCTGATGGAGGAGGGCTGGGCAGAGACCTGAAGCAGCAGATCCAAGAGGGGGGAGGGGGAGGAGGGGGGCACGCCAGCTGGGAGGTGGGACAGGACCTTCTTAGCTGTTCTACCTCAGTTCAACTCAGCCCTGACCCATCCCACTCTGGTGCCTGCAGGGCCCCTGGGCTCTCTCCCTGACCGTGGCTGCTTCTGTGGTTCTAAGACGTGGGCTGATCACAGCTGACAGATGCACCTGTTGGAGGGAACATCAGTCAGCTGGAGATGGGGAGCTGGTGGGGGGAAGCAGGGGTACAGCTCACTTCACACTGCACCCTCCTTCTGCTCAGGCTCCTTCCTGCCCCTGTCTGGGACCAGTGGAGGGAGACCTGCCAAGCTCTCTCCCCTCTTCTTCCTTTGCCTTGGAAACCAAGGCTGCCCTTGTGATTCACATCAGGCTCAGCAGCTGCTCCGGGCCTCACCAGGGAGGGCTGCCTTGGCGTGGTGGGGGGCGGGGACCTCATGGCCCCAAGCCAGAGTGAGTGTGCAAAGCAGCTCCCACACTTGCAGAAGCATCTGTAAGAAAAGGGATCCTGAGTTCACAAGCCTGGGGCTCTTTTCTTTGCAGCTCTGCCCTCTATTCAGGAAAGGGGCTGTGGAGGCTCAGAGGTGCATGGCCGATCCAGGAGACACGGCTGGGTGTGGGTCTGCTTGTGCACAGTCACTAGAGGGTTCAGGGGATTTGAAGCCACAAGCACACAGAGCCAGCCCCCCGCTGGGAGAGGGCCCCACCTCAGCCAGCCGGTGTGCATCTGTCCCCTGCAGTCTTCTCCTCGGACCCCCTCCCCAACCCTAGGGGAGTAAGACAGAGCAGGTTTCAAACCCCAGCTGCAGCTGTGTCACTCGCCATCAAGGGCAGATTTCAGGTTCATCTGTGAAGTGGGTGCAATGCCAAGAGCTACCTCGTGGGTCGCAAGTGGATTCAGGGAAATGATGAAGGTACAGGGCCAGCCCTGACCTCCCAGCCTCCACCTGGAGAAGAGTCAGAGCCGCTCCAGGCCTCTGATTCATGCCTCAGATCCAGCCAGGCAGACTGAGGGAGCAAATCAGGTCCACCTCCTGGAAGCGCCCTGCAGGAAGGCTGCAGCCTGGCAGGTGGAGGTTCACTCCTGGAACCCCGGGCAGCAGGCATGCCCACTCCAGCAGAGCCAGCAGCTCCGTTTGCGCTGCTCACGGAGTTCAAGTCTGGGTGCTGTGACAGCAGGCTGCTCCCTCCTCTGAGCCTCAGTCTCTGCAGCGGGCAGTGACCGCGCTTCCCTTCTGGGCTGCTGTGAGGACCCATGAATGACAGGAGGTGCATGCAGGAGGCCGAGGACTGGGCACTGACCGTGGCAGTGACAGGCAGCCTGCGCTCTGACTTGCCGTCCCTCCTGCCACTAGTGAGGAAGGTGATTTTCACAACCAGTCCTCTTGCTGACCTTGGTGAGCGGCCTAGGAGCAGCTTCCTCAAGGACCACTGTCCCTGCCTGGCCCTGCACCTGCAGGTGTGGGACCTGCTCCCGTCACAGGAAGGCTACTGGCAGGTGCAAGGCCCCTCGAGATCCTATAGGGCTGGGAGCCAGTGTGGAGGAGAGTGGATGGCATTGGGGAGTCACACTGGCCAAGGGAAGGGCAGGTGCAACTGCTGGGCTGGAGCTACTCCCTCCACTCATCTGGCAGGGATGGAGCCAGCCAAGCACCCAGGATGAGCTCTGGATGTTAGGGCAGAGGCCAGGCAAGAGGAGGACTGTCCTCCACCAGGTGGACTGAGCAGGCTATGTGCCCAACTGAACAGAAACCCACCTCTGTGTGCATGCAACTGTGCAGCCCGGGGCCGGGGGCAGGTGCTGCGTGTGGCCGTGCTCCCACTGGCCTATGGATGTGCATGAACTGTGCTGGCAGCCTTGTGTGCGTGCACAGAGCCTGCAGTGTGTGAGCCTGAGACAAGGCACTGTTCCTCTACGTCTGTCTACCCACGGGGGCTGCTGGGAGAGAAAGCACCTCTTCAACCTGCCCCGTTGCCAGGCCTGAAGAGTTTTGCTAATCCTGGCACCCCTAGGAGATGGACTAGTGGGACAGGGGCGACCACAAAGCCCCTGCTCGCCCTTGTTCTTATGGGGGAGAGATAGGAATCGTCTTTTGGGGCATCCACGCTCCCCTACTCAGGAGACCCTGGTTGTATTTGAGTTTTTGCCCTTCCTCCTCTCCTCTCTTTACTGCATGCAGTGCTGGCTCTCCCTGTTGGCCTGTAAGGTACCCTCAGAATGGAAGCCAGGGAGCCGGAGGGAGCCTGTATCCTGCTGACCATGGACCTCCAGGACTACCCTCCACTGCCCCGCTCTGCTCTTCTGCCCGAGAGAGAAATGCAACCAGCCTTGATCAGAACTTTGTTATTTGGGGTGTTCTGATGCACACAGACCAACTCTCGGTGCTGCTTCTTGCCTCAGAGAGATGCCCCCCCCAACACACACACACACACACACACACAGCTCGCACGGCCTCGGGACGTTTTCTGATTAACTGTATTCTGGGGTCAGCTTACGTTCCTTTCCCTCCTTCTTCCTCACTTAATGATTATTCATCCTTCCCACTACCTGCCACCATAGCTTGAACTCTACCCCAGGCATTTTCTTTGCTTTCTCTTTCTCCATACGCCCATCAGCCCCCACACGTGTCCTTGTTAAGGATCCCATGGCCCTTTAGGAATAGGCATTCATCCATTACTTGAATCATTAAAAGGTGCATTCACTGGCCTTCCCTTGAGCATAAAACACTCCCTCAGCATGCACGGTCCCGGGCTCTAAGGGCTATGGAGCCAGGCTTGGGGACCGCCCAGAGCAGGACCAGCCACATGGCTGACCCCAGGTTTTCCTCTGTCCAGCTTCTGTCCCACCAACACCTAAATGGGACCCCAAGAGTCTAGCCTCCCAGCCAGGAAACCCCAAGCGATCCTACAGAGACAGCAAGGGATGAGCTCAAAAAGGGAGGAAGAGCGAGGTTCCTGAGTGGTCCGAGGCAGCCCCCAGCCCTGCCACCGCCTACCTTGGCACGCTGCATCCTGGGAGCCGAAGGAAAGTGTTGCCGGCCTCCCCTCTGCACAGCCCAGGAGATCGGGACTGTGGGGCAGGGCTGGCAGCTGCCTCATGTTTGCTTGGACTGGCAGCTTCTTGCCCGCCCCCTGCCCATCCCTCCCTGCCTGTCTGCTCCTACGGGCTCCACCCCTTCTGCCTCTCTCTCTCTCTCTCTCTCTCTCTCTCTCTCTCTCTCTCTCCCTCCCACCCTCTGCCAAGGCAGCACTCTGAATGGGTAAATGGTCCTAACCCTGCCCTCTCAGCCTGTAAAGTCCTGCCTCTGGGTTTCCCCTCCACCCCTGTCACCAGGGGTCTTCTCTGTGTCACCCCCACTCTGTCCCTTTCTCTAATACACGTTCTCTGCTCCTCCACTTTGGTTAGGGGAGGCTGGGATACAGTAGGGGGGGGGGGGGACAGGGCGGGGGGAGGGGAGCTCTGGCTTGAGTTCCTGCCCAAGTGAGGGGCAGCCCTCCTGTCCCTGCTGCCCCCTCCTCACAACACCTTGTGGAGGGACCAGAGAGGACCTCAGGCCATGCATTGTAGTCAAGACCTTGGTGTCCCCTCAGCTACGCTCCTCCCTGGGGCACATCATTGTGGAGTGCCGGTCCGAAATGGCCTCACAGATGGAGGCTCACCACCCGGAGATGGTGACAGCTTCCAGGGCCACATTATGCGGGTCACACACAGGGGTTCTTTCACCCTCACCTGCCACCACTTAATTATCCCTGGGGCTTCCCAGGTGAGAGCCTCCCAGGCAGCCTGTCCCTCCAGGGCCTGTCATCTGTCCCTGCCTGGAACCCCATCCGGGTGGCTGAGGGATCTCGTCAGATCCCCTGGGTGGGAGCAGAGGAAGGGGTGAGGGTCCCTGGGCATCCTCGGGAGGGTGGCAGATTCCAGGGCATTCGCTCAGCCCCCAGGGAGACCACCCTGGAGCCAGGTGCCTGAAGCCTCACCAAGTTTCCCTTCTCTGCACCCCAGCGCCAGCCTGAGCCAGTGGTTCCCTTGGAAACGGAGCCCTGTGACACCCTCCTCAGCAGCAGGCACAAGGCGCTCACACGCCCTTTTCCTATTTTTCAGCCAATCAGTTCACTCCAACTCTCAGATCCGCAGGAGACGAGAGCAGCCAGAGCTGCTGACCCACTGAGTCCGGACAACCACTTGCAGAGCGGGAGGCAGCCGGGTGTCCATCCCGCTGGACTCCCAGGGCTGGACCTGAGAGGAGGTACAGGGTTGGTCCCGGGCTGAGCTCCCCGGGAGCCTCAGGGCAGTTCACCAGTGGCCTCTGGCTCCAAGCAAGACCCCACAAGAGACTCATTGCTCACTGAGTCTGCACAGTGGCCTGTGGGGAGTGTCAGCACTGGACATGATGAAAGTGAGACCAGGAAAGCTAAGGACTTGCCTAGGGTCATTGAGTGACACGGCTGCTCCGGGAAGCCTGGCTCTTCCATTCCAAATAGAGCCGTGACTAAGTCCCACCCTGCCTCCCACGTTCCTTCCACCAGCCTGGCAGTCTGCCACCACGCTGGCCAGCAGGGGCCTGGCCTTCCTTCTGGCCTGGCCTGGCCTGAAGAGGTGGGTCCCCAAACCACTCAGAATGGCTCCTTTGAGTTAAAGAGCCTCAAGCTGTGACAAGACCCAGGATGCATTGCCCCCCACCTGTTCCACCAGGCCCTTGTGCCTTTGGGAACCTCCCACTGCAACTGCCATGCAAGGGGTGCCCCTCATAAAACACAGATTTGGGGAATGTGTGCCAGGCCCTGACCCTTGCCCACCTCTGCTCAGCACCCCAGGCAGTGGGCACGTGGGATAGGCAGACTTCCCCAGGAGTGTCCGGGAGTTTCGAAGATTCGTTGGCAGCGTATCAGACCCAGAAGAGGTTGAGGAAGGCAGGCTGTGGGAGGCCCTACCGGTCAGCATGAGCACTTCAGCATGAGGTTTCAGCTGTGGTTTCCTTGCATCAGGGGTGGGGGCAGGGATGGTGGAGTTTGAAAGAGGAAAAGTCAGGGGTTGTTTCAGAAGGTGGAGTTTTCTTGTTTACATCTGAGTGCTGCCGCCATTGAGAGGAGACAGCCATCTCAGCTGGCTGGGCCCTCTCTCATCCCACCTCAGGAGGAGCTCACAGCACCCACCCATGAGTGCTGGGGTGTCCTGGGCTTTCTTCCGTCCAGGCCCAAGGTCAACCCTTCCCTCAGTAGGCACTCAAACCTGGCTCCCTGGAACTCCTAGCCAGTATCTTTTCCCTGGGCCCTTTTCTTGGGCTCGGGCTCTGCCTACCCTGGCTAAGGGCAGGAGAGAGAGAGAGAGAGAGAGAGAGAGAGAGAGAGAGAGAGAGAGAGAGAGAGAGAGAGAGAGAGAGAAGAAGAAGAAGAAGAAGAAGAAGAAGAAGAAGAAGAAGAAGAAGAAGAAGAAGAAGGAGGAGGAGGAGGAGGAGGAGGAGGAGGAGGAGGAGGAGGAGGAGGAGGAGGAGGAGGAGGACTAAGGGAAGGAAGAGGGGAGGAGATTGAAAAAGAGAAGTACTCAGTACAGTTTCAGAGTTTGGGCCACTGCCCACCAAGAGCCACTGTCTGTGAGGAAGGGCCATCTAGGTAGAGGTGGGTCTCACTCTGCACATGGACCTCAGTAAATGTCTGTTGCCCAAAACCAGCTTTTCCCTGGACTCCTCAGCACCCAGGCGTCACTGAGAGCAGCACAGCTATGAAACTGGAAAGCCACTTGACAGCCTTATATCTTCCGCTGGCCCTCGAAACCTCTTCTGGTGCTGGATGGAAGCCTGGAAGGGCTGGGATGCTGCTTGGTGGGGAGACCCAGTGGGTCTCTGCACTTCACATCACACAGCAGTCTAGGCTCTGGTCCAGCCCCTGTCCTGGTGGGTCCTCCTGCTGGCAGCCTGGTGCCCCACCAGTTCAGGTGGGGCGGGGGCTGCAGTGGCAGCATCGGCCTCCAGAGGGAGCTCTCGGGAACTGCACTCTGAGTCTGGCAGATTTAAAGCTGTATCCCTTCCCCTGTGGGCACCCCAGGAGTCCTCAGAACCTGGTTGTTGCTGAGCACATGTCTACCATCCCCTGACTAGCTCTCACATGGATCCCAACAACCCCTGCAGCTCCGACACCCCAGGGAGCTCCACATTCTCTGCTGAGCCCTGTCCACCCTCCAGTCTGCCCTGAGGACCATGCTGACTGTCCCTCTCAGGAGGCCCTCATCTGGACCAGCAAAGCAGCAGGTTGGGGGGAGACGTCATCCCCTGGGTTTCTCGCACTACGGGGACATCATGAAGCTCCAGGGGACCCTCTGTAAGCCCCTTTCCTTCTGGCTTGAAGTGAAGACACCCCACCTATATGGGCTCAGCTCACCCACCCCAAATCCCCACCTTTAACTTCAACATCTGCTCCTGGGTCCCCTCAATGTGTTGGGGTCCAGGTTCCTAAGTTCTGCACCTCTGTGGCAGAGGTCAGGGGTAACATCGTCTCTGCACACCCCGCCTTCTCACATGGTGCGCAATGCGTGTCTGCAAGATGGGGAGTGCCAACTGCTCTAAGACGGACACGTCCAGGCAGCACAAGAGAGAACAGTGGGCCCCGGGGAAAAGGCATCATTCCAACAGCCCACAGTGTGTGCACAGGGCTGCCCACCAGGGTATATGCTCAGCCCCCGGCATTCAGGCCTGGAGACAGGGCGCTGGGAGTTAAATGTAGGGAGGACCTGGCTCTCTGGGATGGTGGAAGACACTTGTCTGTCTATGACCACCCAGAGCAGGGCCTCAGGCTGACCCCAGAGAATTCAGGTATCACCTGAAAAGCCCCAATTATCAGTTGATTCCTTTGGGCAAGTGGTGCCCTTTCTACTCAGCTCGCAGTCTCAGAGACTTCGTTTTCTCAACCATAAACAGGTAAGTAGCTACGTCAGCCCATCAGTTAATTCATGTAAAGTGCTCAGCACATTTGTAGTGTGTACATCCCGCCATTCCATAAACGCCTCTGTCCCCTGGCAGCCCGAGCAGGCCTCTAGCTCACCTGCGCTTAGCACAGTTGCTAGTGCGTACACAGCTCCATAATGTCTCGGTCCCTTTCTTTCGCACACCTGAGCCAGCCAGAACCGCCCTAGTCAGCCACCTGGGACCTCAGACCCAGGTGGAACTCAGACACCCTGGCCCATTTAGCATTTCTTTGGCAGAATCTGCCACTCACGGCTCACAGGGCCTTTGCTCTGGAATGGCCAGGCTGGAGTGTCTGACAGAACTCCCAGAACGTCCAATCTGCCATCCCTCCTGCCACAGGACAGCAAAGATACTTGTAGAATCTCCTTGGAGTCAGGGCCTTCCTCCCAGACCCACGGGGAATGGGGCCTGGCAGCAGGCCCAGGAAGGAACCTCTAGGGACACCAGACTAGGGGCCTGAATCCCAAACAAGTTCTACCTGTGAGATCTTGAACCAGCCACCCAGCTTCTCAGAGCTTCTTTTGCTGAACATCAGACAAAGACAGTCCCCACCCCCTTCAGGGAATGTCCTGGTTACAAATGAGCCTGCGGCCACAAGGGCCTCGTTTCACATGCGAAGTAGGATTCAGATTTTAGGATCCCAGCAATTTTTAAAATCAGGGAAATGTGTGATATATTTTCCTCTGTGGCTATTTTTGTGTCTCTGTCCCCTGCCAAGTGCCAAAGTCTTGGGGAAGAAATCAGAACTTACAGTGATTCCTAAAACACAGGGACTTAATTTCCCCGGCACAGGGCAACAGATAAGAAATGAGGAAAAAAACCTCTGGAAAAAGCCAAAAAGAGGTGATTGTACTACATACTGGGAATGTGTGTGAGTGTGCTTATAACTAAGTGTTTGGATGGCTGGGCCAAGGGTTCTGGACACCAAGTTCAAAGAGCAACAACTGCCTTTTCCCAATTCACAGGGGAAAGCAAATCAATTTTTTCAGGATTGCTACTTCTGATCATGGTGGATTAGGGCATGTGGACTAAATCCCCAACTGAGGTCAACTTAAAAGCTGCTCCAATATGTTTTTAGTCTGATTTAGGGTATTGAGGGCCAAACGAGGCAGTAAGGAGTCACAGGGCCAAGATGAGGGAAAGGAACCCAGAGATGTGTGCCTGGCATCTGGAGCTACTTTCTCCCTAGGAGCCCGCTGGTCCCAAAAGACAGCGAGCTGCTGAGCAGAGCTGTTAACAGCCTCTGGGGTGAAGGAGGTAAAAGCCCCACCACGAGAAGGGGTGCCTGGCAAACCTTGCATGTCTTGGGTTGGGACTCCAGAGAGCTTCACTCCCACAATACGAATGGAAACGGGTCAGCCCTCCAAGGGAGTGCAAGTCATTTCATCCCCAGAAAGTAGAAAGCCATCCTGGTTTGCTAGATCCCAGGCCACCTGCCAGATGTAAGCATAATCCTGGTGGGGGAAGAAAACTTTGTCCTACACCTCAAATTACTTATACAAGTTTCAGATGTAATATATGATACTCAACCAAAAATCACCAAGTATGTGATGAGAGAATACAAAACTAGAAAAAAAAAAACGAAAAAAAAAAAACAAGAGAAACAATAGACACTAGAAACAGACCCATGAAGGCCCCATGTTAGGGAGTTACTGAACTTCAAAATAACTATGCTTAATATGCTCAAATATATCAAAGATAAGATAGACAACTTTGATAGAGAGCTGGGAATTATTTTTTAATAGTTTGTTTTTTTTTTTATCCCATCTATTTCATTCCTAAAACACAGGGGCTACATTTCCCCTGCTCAGGGCAACAGATAAGAAATGAGAGAGAAAAAACTCTCTGAGAAAAGCCAAAAAGAGGAGATTGTGCTACATTCTGGGATGTTTGTGTAAGTGTGCTTATAACAGTGACAATACATTGTGTATGCACCATACTACTACCTAATAGCAACTTTGTTGTTGGTTTGTAAGATGCAATTAAACACAGACACTCCGGGAACTCAGCAGAACACAATCTTAAAGTGCCTTTGCAAAGGGGCTCACCTCCCGCTTCCTGCGCTCCTGCCCAGATCCTGCTCTGTCCCTGATTCAGTCATGGCCAAACGTTGCAGCATTTGAGCATGTGTTTTGTGCCAATGGCTTTTCACACATTGTCACATTTTCCCCAGCCCTATGAGGAGGCAATGACTCTGCTCCCATTTTAAAAATGAAGAAACTGAGGCCCAGGACCTTCATATAACATGTTTGAGGTGCCCCCACTAACGAGCATTAGAACGAGCACATGGACCGGGTCTGCCTGCTCCTGGAGTGGGCCCCTCCCCACCTGCTGATTGCTGGAGGAATCCCTGGATGCCTGTGGCCAGAGGAGGCCTTGGGTTCTCCTCTCCACACTCATGAGACACCGACTGCTTACACGGCTCTATCCTAGGAGACCTAGCGTGCAGGGCCCAAAGCCACGGCTGAGGAAGTGAGAGCACTTGACTTGATCAGGGACACTATCTCTCCTCCTCTCTCCACTTCCTCTTCCCTTCTTCTGGAACCCAGGGCTCGGCGTGCAGAGAGCACAGGTTGGACAGAGGGACCCCAGGCCATGCACAGGAGTAAGGGCGACAGTGCAAAACCCTGTTGTGGCCACCAGGTCCTGGCTGGGGAAGCTGGGTGGGGGCTGTCAAAGAGCTACTTCCTGGGGAGCCAGGCCCTGCTCTGGCCCAGGTCCCGGGTCCCAGGTTCCTTTCCCGGAAACAAATATTCAGAGAGCTGCTTGGAACAGTACTGTTTCCAAACAAGGATGCAGGCAGGGGGCTCTGGCTTCACACAGGTTGGGGGCCAGGAAATCAGGCTGGGGGCTGTGGAGGGTACAAGTCTCCAGGCAGCAGTGGGTTCAGAGGCCATGCGGCAGCCAGGTGGCACCTTGCCTGCTGAGTGGCTTCACCTGATTAGTTTGGTCAGGCAGGAGGGGTCCCTGGAGACCAGCAAGATGGTGGGATACGCTAAGGAAAGGACAAAGGGGAGTGAGCTTCCCTAGGGGGAGGATGTACCGTGTGACTGAGGAGGGGACAGAGTGACACTGAGGAAAGGGGAGGGGAGGGGAGAGGAGTGTTGTGGGGGCATGTGCAGGGAGAGGGGTGGATGATGACAGAGGGGGTGGGCAGGGCCTCTGTCCCACCCAAGGTGCTAAGAAAGGGGCTCCAATAGGGGGAGAACGGGGTCTGCTCAGTGTTGACGTGCTAAGGAGGAGGAGGAGGGACGCCAGGAAGGACCCATGGGCCCTGTTGCTCAGCAGCAATTTTGAGAATGAATACAGGCAAGATGGAGTCAGGAAGCTAGAAGTGGGGGACCGTCCAGGACTGGATGCTGGCCTGGGCTCTGGGGGCAAGAGCGGCGGAATCCTCTGGAATCCTCTAGGCAGTCAAGGTGGAAGGCGACAGCCCAGCATCACCTTGCAGCCAGCAAACCTGTCATGGATTCAGAATGAAGAGGTGAGAGGGATGAGGTACATGCCAGGGTCTGTACCACTGCTGGGCGGACCAGACCCCACAGTCAGACCCCACCAAGTCCCAGAACCTGCCTCCCCCCTGGAGGCCCCAGCTGTAGAGAAAACCTGGCTCCAGGACAGGAGAAGGACGGTGGTCCATGCACCCAGGGCAAGGCTTCAGGGTCCCAGCTCCTCCCCTTCCTTCCCCCAAACCTCTGCTCTGGCACCAAGGAATTAATGGGGTGACTCACCCAAGGGGTCCTACAGCTTCAGGGAGGTGACCCGGGGGATGTGGAAGAGCTGAGTCTCCTCAGAGCTGCTGGAGCTGTGGCATCAGAGAGAATGAGGGACCCCGCACAACCCCAGCCCAATGGGAACAAGCCCAGAGCTCTGATTTTCCCGCCTCAGATGCTCTCCAGGGGAGGGGGGAGGGTGAAGTCTGAGCAGCAATGCCTGCTGGGTGCGCTGGAGCAAGGAGCAAGGGTGGCTCCTCAGTGTGGCTCCTTGGGGCTAGCATGCTCCTCCTCGACCTGGCGGGGGTCTCAGGAGGGGTGTGGGCCCCTGTTCCTCCACAGGCCTGGCAGCCCCTCACCTGAGGCGTTTCCAGATGGGATGGAAGTATTTGGAGGTCTTGATAGCGAAGATGATGCTAGGGACCAGGAAGAAGGTGCACCACGCCAGGCAGAACCAGAAGGCGTTCTGGAGCAGAGGGTGTGGGGTTAGCTCGCCAGGGCGGGGCAGCTGGGTACTGCAGGCCCCCGCCGCCTCAGTGAGGGGCAGGAGGCAGTGCTCCCAGAGCCGAGTGCAGGCCTGGGGCAGGGACCCTGTCCCACCTCAGGCCCTGCTCACGCACCCCCCCAGGGACCCTTAATGTCCATGAGCCCATCCGGCACTCACCCAGGGGTCAGCCATCATGTCACACAGGATCACACGGCCATTGTCCAGGGCTCCAGAGAGGGGCTGGCAGGTGGCGATGTGCTGAGTCACCTGTGGCATCCACAGGAGGCAGGTACATGCAGACCCAGAGTCAGAGAGAGGTTGGCAGACACAGACAGGTCCAGGACACATGAGAGAGACCAGGGATGCAGGAACACATGGACAGACACATGGACACAGGAACATAGAGTTGTAAGGACACACAGCTCTGCTTCTGCCCTTTCCATCATGCCCCAGCCTGCATTAAGCGCCTACTGTGTGTGCCCAGCACTGTGCCTGCTGTCTCCCTGGAGAGGCAGCACAGCTTGCGGAGGCTGGTCAGCGAGGCCTGCAGGAGGAGGCAGGCCTGAGGGCTGGGGTGGACCAGACAGGATGGGCAAGGGGCCAGCACAAGGAAGGACATGCAGATGGGTGTGGACAGCACGTTCAGGACCCTTGGCCTGTCCTGCTCACACTCAGGCCTCAGAGAAGGGCTGCCTAGTGAGTAGAGGCATGGATGCCAGGTTTGGGAGTTTGGGTACCTCTAGGGAATCTCCAAGAGACTCTGGGGTGGAAGAGGATGGAGCAGAATGAATGGCTGGTACCGCTGGAAGCGAGTGATCGGCAGTGGCTCTGAGGCCAGGAGGGGCCTGAGCCCCACTCACCTCCTCTCTCACCCAGGCCACGTACTGGGAAAAGTAGCCCATCTCCCGGGTCAGGAAGCACTTGCTTTCCTGCAGGAAGGAGAGGAGCCTGGGCTGGCAGGAGTCCCAGGAACCAGCACCCAGTACCCATGCGGGGTCCCATCAGGTCAGGGCTGGAGGAGAGGCCGAGTGGGAGCCCTGTGTGCCTCAGTCCCTCCACTCTCCTCTGGCTCTGAGGCAGCTGCCACCCCTCGGCCATCCCACACTCACGTTCCTCAGGACACGGCTGGCCCAGTCCGGCAGCTCTCCTTTCAGCTGGGTGACCCTGTCCAGGGCACCTGAGGTCTCCCGCTGGGGAGAAGGGACATGCTCAGTTAGTGTGCTGCTCGGTCAGGGAGCAGCCTCCCTCGTGAACTCAGCAGAGAGTACCCAGCACGTCAGCTTGGGGCAGGGTGTTCTGCCTCAAGGTCACAGAGGACCAGACAGTGGCCCTCAGGGATCTGCTCACCCACCCGTTCTTCCCACCCAGCCCTCAACCTCCCATGGGACCGGGCAGAGCCGGTGAGGTCCCAAGTCAGCTGGGCCTCTTCCTTCCTCCCTCTGCTGCCCACCTGCTCCACCCCACCCTCCCATCTCCAGAGCCACCTGGAGGTTTGGTGCTGAGAATGCCAGAGCCATGACACTGATGTTGAGCTTGGCCTGTGGAAGAGAGATGGGGGCTGGTCAGGGCAAGAGCAGGATCTGGTGCCTGTCTCCCCGTTCATGCTCCCTGCCTGCCTCCCCTTCCCCACAGGCCCCAAGCTCCCTGGGCCTCCAGACTTACCACAAGGCTCTGCTGGGGGAGGACCTTCTCCTGGTAGAGGGTTCTGAGCCCTTGGGCCTCTTCCTGCAGTTGCTTCCCCAGCACAGAATTGCCCTGAGGGGAGATAGGGACAGAATGGCCTCTGCCCAGTACTGAGCAGCCCTTGCCAACATGTCCTTTACCAAACTGTTCAACCAACATGCTGAGGAGTGTGCATGCCAGGCTCAGGTGAAACACTAAGGTCTCCTTGAACTCCTGGGCCGGATCTGGGTTTAGAGGCCTAAGCTCAAGTTCAAGGTCTACTGCTAGCTTGCTGGGCATCCCTAAGTCTGCCACAGAACCTGTCAGAGTGGCATCTGCTGGGTGGGGCCTATAACCTATTCGGAAAGTAACTTTAAACTCTAAATATTTCTAAATACAAACTGCTATTTTCCCAGCGAAGCTGAAACCCCTGAGGGGCAACTGTCATGATATCTGCTCCATCGCACTGTCCTCTCCACCTGCCCCAGGAGCTCCACAGCACTAAGCACTTAGAAATACTTGCCCCAGGGTGTAATGCCAGACCAGTCAATCCGTCTGACTTCACAGATGGAATAAATAAGGCCCAGGAAGGTAAGTGACTTGCCCAAGGCCATAGAGACAATTGGTGGCCGAACTTGAGTCAGAACTGATACTGCAAACCCCTTCAGCCCTGCCAAGGGTGCGGAGCCTCACTGGTGGGAGCCTCAATCCCCTGCCTTTGCCCTAACCCCCTCCCCAGCCCAACCCCTCTCACCCCCTCTCATGGCACAGGCCTCTCCCCAACTTTGCCTGCCCAGTGGGGCCCCTCTTCCTTTCTCACCTGAGAATGGGACAGTCCTTCCAGATCGTGGGCCAGCTTCTCCACACTGGTGTTCACCACGGGCTTCTCAATCTGGAGGCAGATGGAGGGGCCAGGAGGGGATGAACCCTGGTTCCCCCCTCCCCCAAATTTCCAGTCTTTGCAAAAGTACTGCACACCAAGTAAGTCAGTAAGGACACATCAGCAGGTCTGACTGAACCTGTGACTGACATACACCATTTTCTATTTAGACAGAAGAAAAAAAGTGAGGCGCCCTCTGATGTACCAAGGAAGAGGAGACTTCCCACCATCATTTGCCTCAACATAGGATTCAGAACCACGGACAGCGGCATACCCTGGGGTTGGGGGGACATTCACTCCAGCCCAGGGGACACCAGGACAGGCCTGGGGCACATGGTCTAGATCCACATGGTCTGGGGACAACCCTCCCACCCCCACCCAGGGACATGGGGGCTTGAGAAAAGATGAAGGGCTGGGTCAGGGCGAGATGCACCCTTCCAGCTCCTCCTCGGGCCCCTCTGTTCTGCAGAGGTCTGGCCTGAGGGGCCCATGGCTGACCTGGATGAGGAAGCCAGGGTAGTGGATGTCACTAAGCCCACTGCTCTGCAGGGTCTTCAGGTCCCGGAGGCCAGCTGGGCTCAGCAGGTCCAGACTCTCCATATCCACTTTGAAGTTCTGCAACTCCTGCTCCAGCTTGGCCGAGTACTGGGAGAGAGGGGAGGGGGTAGGAACATGTCCAGGCCCTGAGCCAGGGCCCCAGAACTGCTGTCCTAGATGGGGGGTCACCAGGGCTTCCATGCTGGATCCTCCCAGCCCCAGCCAGACCCCCCAGAGACCTCTGCTTCCTACCCACCCTCTCCCTCCAACCCATCCCCACCAATATCCAGCCCGCCTCAAGCACCTGTCTGGCTATTAGACAACAACACAGACCTTCCCTGTGGCATCCAGTGTAAAATAGTTTCCCCAGCTCACCTGTCACATCACCATGTGTCAGGGCCTTCAGAACACCTGTCCCTGTGACACTGTCTATGTGTGCACTTGCCATTGCCATCAGCTCTGTGAGAGCAGTGCCTCCTCCGCCCATTCTGAACCAAACCCTCGGAGGCTAGAGCAGAGGTTCAAGTGTGTTGAATACGTAAAAGTGAATGGATGGATAGATGGATGGATGGATGGATGGATGGATGGATGGATGGATGGATGACTGAGTGACTTAATGAATGAACACAATCACTTAAGACAGATCACAGTTTAAGAAGGAACACTCAGCATTTCCCAGTCATTGCTGGAGATTTAAAGGGTGTGTCATTCAGCCATGTTTAACAGGTGAGAGACTGAGTCCAGAGAGGGGCATTCACCTGCCTGAGGTTTCACAGCAGGTGAGAGAATGGAGCCCTGCCCACCACCCTGCCTCCCCGGGGGAGAAAGGCCTAATTCTTCCTCAGAGGCATGGTGACAGGTAGGTAAGGAGATGTCTGAAGGCAGCCAGAGCCCTCCTGGTGCCCTGGGAAGCACAGCTTGTCACACTTATCTCTGCCTCACCAGCTCCTGGAGGTCAAGCACTCTTAAGGCCACATTTGATGTTGCCAGAGGGCTCCAAGGACTGCCCAGTCCCTCTGAACCTGAGGCCCTAATGTCAGACTCTTCTATGAGCTGGACCCTCCCCTCCCACGTCCGGCTGAGACCCCTCCCCACAAGAGCCGTGACTCCCAGCCAGCAGAACAGGGCCCCTCTGCCCAGGCCTCTGCTGAAGCCCTCCCTGGCCAGCCTTCCTCCACAGGCAGTGTCTGTTGTGACTGAGAACCTGGTGCTCTGTGGGCATCTTGTCTGGTTAGAGACACTGGAGGAGGAGAAAGCTAAGGCCCCCACTCATAGGATGGAGTTGGGACTGTCACTGGACCATGTGGCCATGCTGGCTGGCAGGACTCAGGTATATGCTGCCCTGGGGGCTGAGAATGAGCGGTGGGTTCAAGAGGAGTTGGAAGGTTTCCTGGATGAAGAATCAGGAGTCACTGTGCTCGGGGCAGGGGTGGGGGGTTCCCAGGACATGCCTGGGAAAAGCTTCCTGGGGGCCTGGGAGTCAAACAACTCTCCCTCACCTCCCTTAGGGGTGGAGAGAGGAAAGGAGAGGACCTACACCCTCAGGAGAACCCCGTTCTCCAAGCAGCTCTCATGCAGATCTTCCTCCTGTGTCCCAGAACTGTTTTCTATGGGCATGGATCCTTTTCCCCCGTTCTATGCGCCAAGCTCTCGCAAAGTCCAACGGCTGAGGGATTGAATCCTGCCACCAACTGACAGCGTAAGCTCAGCAAGGGGCCAACTTCATCACGATCATTTTCACCGTCACCCCCTCCCAACCGCAGCATACCAACCAATGCCTGTCCCGGGCAGGACACACCCTCAGCCTCCTACTCACTGTCACCAGCCTTTCCTGCTGCCACCTCAGCTGTGGCCAGTTTCCCTGGAGCACAATGCTCAGAGCTGGCCACGGCCCCAGGCACTCACCTGCCCACCTGCACATCCCAGAAACCTCCGGGCTCTAGCCCTTGGCCGGGCCCCGAGCTGCCATCAGGGCCTCTGGACTTGAGGCACCTCAATTGCTCTTGCAGACATCTTAGGTTCAAGGAGATGGTCCCACCACAGAGGCAAGACCAGAGGAGGGGATCTGTAGGGAAGTCACCACAGCCTCTGTTCCCTCACCTGGCTCAGATCCAGGTACGTCTCCAGGTCATAGGAGTCATTGAGCTGCAAGACCCTCCAGAGCGGAGCCCCTTTCCTGCACTGCCTGGGGAGGGATGGAGGGGTGGAGAATGGGTGTCAAAGATGAGGGGATGGCCAGGGGACTGATGTCACCCTAATGAGACACTCACCTCAGCTCCTCCTCACACCCTGTCCCAGCCCAGGCTTCCTACTCACTGATAGGCTAGGAGGATACTGATGTTCTTCTTCAGACCAAGAAGGCGGGACAAGTTCATGGACGAGGGCAAGTTCCCCGGTGTGTCAACAAACTGGAGATGGGTCAGAGAGAAATGAGCCTGGAGTGGGCAGGGGCAAGGTTGTCCCGGCCAAGGGCCCATCCCATGATATCCTGGCTTAGCAGACAACATACCCCTTTGACTCCAGCCCAAACCTGCCTCCAACTCCAATCTCCCTGGGTCCTAACACCCAGCAGGGACCCTTCCCACAAATCTTGAGGGAGGTAGCCTGGTCTGCAACAGAGAATCTGGGATTACCTGCGAGAAGCACTGAGGAACCAGGACCCCCAGTTCGCAGAGTTAGGAGGAAGAGGGTTGAGGTCTGGGAGTCCCCGCCCTGGGGCTGGGCATCAGCCCAGGCACTCATGGGCTCTCGCTCCCACTCCTCACCTATTGGTGGTTTTCTGTCTTTCTTGGGTCTTCATCATTGCCCCTTCCTCTCCCTCTTGTCTTCTCAGGCCCCCACTTCCTTCCACCCTCTTTCTCTGCTCATGTCTCCTTCCACCCACCTCGTAGAGCTCCCCGCTCTTCCAGCTCCGACACACCAGCGTCTGCACGTTGCCACCCACCAGGAAGGTGGAGAAGACGAGGAGGATGAGGGGTGCAGCGAAGAGGAAGCTGAGGCTGGCCCCACTGGAAGGCAGAAGGGTGGGGGTTGAGGCGAGAGAGACCCTCTATCCCCACCCACATCCCAGGCCAGCATGGTCAGCAATTTTGGCTCCAGGGCAGAGCCCTTTAGGGAGAAAAACTCAAAGGACTGCCACCTTGGCCCGGAGTTAGAAATGCTGACTGTCCTCCCCCCCCCCCCATCCTCAATGTCGCTGGGCCCTGGCAACGTAGAGGAAAGTGTAACTGCTTTGCTCAAAGAGACAGGACTGCTGCCCCCTGGGCCCAGGGCGCATAGAGGTGACCAGCTCCAGAACTCAGCCCTCAACAGGGCCACCTGGCACAGCCAGCCATGACCCACCAGCAGGCACAACTTAGAGGGTCTGAGCAGGACCCGTGCAGCTGACCTGTAGGGCTTTTTTGGGAGGTAGGCACAGCCCCATGTCGGGCCTGAGCTTAGAAAGTAAAACGTGGGCTGGATTTCAGCCCCCACCCACCCCTATGGCCAGGTACCCCAATGCAGTGAGCAGCCTGCACAACTGAATGGCAGCCCTGGCCTTAGAGACCATCTAGTCCAGAGCAAATAGATCCTCTCTCTGGGGCCACCTGCTATTGGTGGTGCTGCCTGAAGGCGGGGTGAAGAAAGATCCCAGGCTCTGTCTGGGCTCAATGGGAGTGCCCTTTGGTTACTATCATTGCAACTGGTGTGGAGGTGGAAATGTTTCTGTGTTGTTATGGGGCTCAGATGGGTTACTGATGTACCATGACCACCCAGCAAGTCAGTCTCTCAGTGCCCAGGACAGGAGGGTCAGTGGGCACAGGGGAACCTGGTCAGCCTGATGGGAGAGACCCTACCCTCTCCACACCCTTCTTACATCATGAGGATGCGGGCTCCAGCCCTGCCCTTGGCCTCCAAGTGGCTGCGGTCCCGCTGGGCAGACAGCCCCCAGATGCCCAGGTTGAGGCCCACGAGGTTACAGACCACCACAAGCAGGACCACAGAGCACAGGATGTAGCCCACAATCCACCTGCCACAGAGAAGAAGCGGGTGTCACTGAGAAGGGATAGGCTAGCATAGGACCTAGTGGCTGGGCGGGGCCACTAACCCCAAGGCTGGGGACTTAGAGTGTAGATTTGTGTACTTCCTGACACCCACCCTGCTTCTACAGGGTCTACAGGCTCAGATCTCAAGGGCCCAAGGAGGAAAGGATCTTGGCTTAAAAGGAGGCAGAGGCTTAGGGCAGCAAGGAGTTGATGGGGACTGTAATGGGGTCCAGGTGACCAAGAAGCTGGCAACTCCACCCCCACCCCCATGGGTCCCGAGCACCTGTATTTCTCGTATCTCTGCACCTCCTTCAGGTAGGGGCGGCTACTGTTTTCCACCTTCTCCAGTGCCTGGCTCCAGCGAGAGGCCGCCTCCCAGTTTGGGAACGCTTTGGCCAGTGTCTTCAGCCCTCCAGGCTGCTGGGCCACTGCCTTCTTCAGCTCTGCCCAAAGCAGCAGGGGCTAATGGGTTGGGGAAGGCGCCCGGGGGCCCAGGGAGAAGGGTGGGCAGGAAGATCACCTGGGACCCACAGAGAGGGCCCACTCTCCAGGCCCAGCCCAGGAACAGCCGTCAGCCTCCACCCACGGCCCCACTCCTCAGTCAGCAAGCCTGTCGTTAGGGGTGGAGTGGGGTGGCATGCTGGGCAGCCAGCCTGGCCCCTGGGCAGGGCCTTACCTTTGACCACATCGGCCAACTGCAAGGGAGCCAGGAGTGGGAGGGCGTTAAAGGTGCTGTTCTCCTGCCAGAGCAAAAGGCAGCTGTGCCTCCCGCTCTATACCTGGGGATCCCCGCGTGGGGACCTCCACACCACCAGGCCCAGGGGGAGGGGATCTCACTCTGTGCTCCCAACTCTGGAAATCGGGAAGCAGCCTTCCCTTGGTTCTCTCGGTCCATGGCTTCTTTCCCCTCCCTGGGCCCAGCCTGACTCAACTCCCCAGAGCTCCTCGATGACCCTCCCTTTGACCCCCAGCCCTCGTGCCTAGACTATTGCAGTAGACTCCCGTGTTTCCCATCCATCCTGCACAGGCCTGCTCTGTGTATTTCCCTGGAGTCCATTCTAACCCCTCTCGTAGCCTCAGCCCCCACTCCTTCCTCCTAGAACCCTCTGCTGCAGCAGCCACCTCACACAGCCTCACCGTCTCCTCAACTCAGGTGGTCCAGGCCTGGGTCACAGGTGCTGGCTCATGCTGTGGGGTCCCCCACAGCCATGTCCACCCTGGAGATCCTGCCTGCCATCGGGGCTCAGCTGCAGGCTCCCTCCCTGGCTGCCCAGCCCCCACACCCTGAGGGCCCTAGCTCTTGCTTCTGAGTTCTGGGCCTGCCCCCACACCACCACACCGTGGGCACTCAAGAACTGGCATCCATTGGGAGATTCCAGCCCTGGGTACCATGTGACGGTGAGGCCCTGATTTGACCCAAGTCTTAGGTTCAACTGGGCAAGCACCCAAAAGGGGGAAACTGAGGCTCCGCACTGTGAGTTCTCTGCCAGGTGGGGGAGAGGCCAGGTAGCAGGGAGACACTCACCTCCTGGACCATGCTGGAGAAGTTGGCCTCCGGGACCCCCTCCAGGCGATGGAGGACATCGTCCACATGGGGCACCTGAGATTGGGGGGGATGGGGGGGGTAATGACAAAGGCCTGAAAGGGATCCTGAGGGAGGGTGGGGCAGAGGCCACTGAAGCCTCAGTGTCCTCGTGTGTAAAATGCCCGGACCAGCACAGCCCTCTGTCCTGGGCAGCAGTGACACCTCAGGGAGCGGATGGCGCACTTTGTGCCGTAGGAAAGCTGCGGCCCCTCTGCCAGGGTGACCAGCATTGCCCGGGGGGGGGGCGGAGGCGCGTGGGGGTCCGCCTCGGGAAACAGGGACCCGGGGCGGCTCGGGGGCAGCCCCCCGCTCTCACAGCCGCTGTCCGGCCTGCACCTGGCTGAAGTCAGCTCCCAGCTCCAGGCCATGGGCCTGGCTCAGGGTCTCCCGGCAGCCCCGGCAGCCGGGCTCCTGCAGCAGGTCGCGGAGGCGCTCCCGGTGCGCCGAAACAGCCTGATCCAGGTGCTGCTGCCCCTCCCGCAGCTCCAGAAGGGTGGCATTCAGCGCTCGGAGGTGGTCCACTGAGACCTGCAGGGCTGAGAGACACCGCGAATCTTGACTGAGCAGTCCCCCCACTGCTGCCAGCATCCTCAGAGGCCTGGAGGGAAGCAAAACATCTCCTCTCCTCCCCCGTGTCCCCACCCAGCCAAAGGGAGCTGCCAACATTGACCTCTAACCTCAACAGTTATAAGGGAAATGGCCCCAGGGCGCATTCAGGCAAGGGTGCCCAAGGGGATCCTAGGACAAAGCCAAGGGTGGGGCTTAGCTAAGGCAGCTAAAGAAATCCAGGGCGAGTGAGGGTGGGGCCCCGCCTCCGGAAACACCACCCAGGACGCTGGTCCACTCACCCTGGCCCAGGCCGAGCAGTGAAGCCAGCGTCTCATACACCGCGCTCCGGAGCTGGGTGTGGATTGCGCTCCCGATGCTCATGGCAACACCTGAAGAGCACAGGGCAGTCTGAGGGCTGGGCCCCGGGCGCCAGGAGCCCTCCGGGCCGGTCCATCCAGCCTCCCCAGGTTCTGCAGTAGCCTAGCTGCCCAGCTGGGCCCAATCCCCCCCTCTGTGAGGGTGTTCTCAGGGGAGCCCAGGATGAGGGGATGAGAGGACCTCTCAAGACAGACCGGGGCAGCGGGCCCCCGGGGCTGGCCCAGCTGCCAGCCAGCGCTAATCCTCACCATCCAGGTCCTTCAAGACGCGGTTCTGGGGCACGGAGAACTGCTGTGCCACAGCCTGCAGCTCCTAGGCAACACAGGTGGTCACCTGACAGCGCCCCCTCCATCCTTTCCCAGCCCTTCCTTCCCCTGACTCAGGAGTGCATTTGTGTAGCACAGTGACTCTCCAGCAGGGGGCAGCCAAGTACATGTTGGAAGGGGCCCCCTTTGGGCTAATTTGCAAGACCCACTCTGCTCTGACCTGCCTAGGCCTGGTGCTCATGTGGGTGAGGGGTTACCCGGTGCTCACCTGGGGGACATCAGAGACCAGGCCCCGGAGGCTGAGCAGCGTCTCGGGCACGGCCTCGACACTGGGGCCCATGTGCTCATGCACACGCTGGTTGGTGACAAAGGCACAGACAACGCCAATCCTGTGGGATGGGGCGGAGGAAGGAACTCGCTGGATGTCCTTGGGCACCTGGGCCTGGGCCCGCCCTCCCGCCCGAGCCGGGCACCCCTCACAGCAGCACGAGGGTGGTCAGCAGCAGGAAGGTCATGAGGGTGCCGCGCTCACAGGCCATCTCCTTGTACTCCGTCTTCCCTGGGCCCCCGCAGCGCTGGTGGCCACGGCAGCAACAGAAACAGAGCCCTGCGGTGGGCACTGCCAGGAGGTAGAGGCCCGCGATGACGGCGCACACCACGTAGCCAGCCTCGTACCGCACCACCTGCGGGGCGGGCGACAGGGCTGTTCTGACCCACCGACCAGCCTGCCCTGCAGGACACCCCGGGGCAAGCAGGAGGGCAGATGCCCACAGAGGGCACATTTCACGGATGTCCTTGAACCTGTGCAAGTCGCACGTGTCCTTATGGTTGTTTACCACCTTACAGCTGAGGAAACTGCCCTCCAGGGAGGTGGGGGTTCACTGCAAACCCCAGGTAAGGGCATAGCTGTGGTTTGAAGTCAGGTCTGCTGACTGACTGCAGGGCTCATGAAAGAGAGGAAGGGATGCCCAAGACCCACCCTGGGGGACAGCCAGCAAGGCGGGCTGAGCTGAGGGGGCCTTCCCTTTCAGTCCAGGCTCAGCCTGAACTCCCTCTCCACCCTGCCCAGCCTCACCTCATCCACCTTCACGGAGGCCGGCTCGTTCAGCAAGTCCCGCACCAGCTCTGTGGAAAAAGTCAAGCTGGGGGCTTGGGGCAGCGACTGCTCTGCCCTGTTCCCACCCCAACCAGGAGAGATCGACTCTCTGAAGGGTCTCCTCCCACCACCAAGGCACCTGGGAAGAGGCAGTGTCACCACAGCCCCTGGCCATCATGCCCAGGCCTCGGAAAGAAGGGCTGGGGGAAGGCCTGGCCAGCCCCTCCTCCTGGACCCTGCAGGCTGGCCCTGCAGCAGGAAGCCATGCCACGGGCCTGGTTAAGAGTGGAGAAGAGCCTGGCCTAGCAGCTCCTCCCCTGGAGAGGCAGGGGGCAGGCTGAGAGGGCCCTGCAGCCCCTGCAGCCCCTCCCAGCCCCTAGCACCACTAGCCCCCGAGGGAACCTTAGCCAGCTCTTCGGGACCTTCTGATGTAACCTCTACATTAGGTCAGAGACTGAGGCTCAGAGAGGAAAAGGGCTCACCCGAGGCCACACAGGAAGGTCCTGGAAGGGTCTCCAGGTGATGCCCCTGGGCAGGAAGATGGGGGTGGGAATGCTGGGGATCCCGCCCTCCAAAAACCCTGCTCCGCGATGAAAGGGGACAGGGTGCTGGCCGGAACCCAGCCCCGCCCGTGGCCCGGCTGGGGAGCGCGCACTCACCGGCAGGGAAGGGGTTGAGCTGCACGGTGGAGAGGAAGCGACGCACGGTGCCGTAGAGGTGGTCCAGGGGCCCTGGAGCCCGCACACGAGGGGCCAGCCACCGGTCCCTGGCTGCCCGAGTGAAGGTCAGGCGCGGAGCCGGGCCAAGGGACTCACAGTCAAGGGCCCGCGCCCCCGGCAGGCTCAGGGCCAGCATCAGGCCCAGGCCCAGGCCCAGAAGAGGCGCCATGAGGTCGCCTGCAGCTCAGGGCAGGCGGGTGTGGGCAGAGAGAGCGGGAGGCGCCCAGGGCCGGCCGTGCATCCTTCACCAGCCTCCGTCCTTCAGATCCCAAAACTGGCCTGACAGGTTTGGGCTCCAGAGTACCTGGGCGCTGGCCCAGAGCGCTGGAAGGCCAGGGCGGAGGCCTGGAGTGGGGGGCAGGGCCTGTTAGCACCGCCCTCAGCACCTGGGGTTTGGGAGCCTGGGCGCTCCAGCCCCTCCCCAGTCCTCCTGGGAGGGCTGCCTCGGAGCCGGTTAGAGACGCACTTAGTAGCTCCGGATTGGCTAGGGTGGCCCAATTTCCAATATCGTATTCTGTGCTCAGCCCAGCAGCCCAGACTGGGGGTTGGGAAAACAGCCACCCAGGGAAGCCCTGGCCCAGGGTGGCAAGAGCAGCCTTCCAGGCCTAGGAGCAAGGCTCCTCTCCCAGCTCCTTCTGGGGCCGCGGTCCTCTCGCCCACACCAGGCCCATCTGGAGCAGAGAGGCCACCAGGCTTTGACTGTAGTGGCTCTCAGAGGGGCCACTCAGGCAGGCACAGGCCTTTGGGTGGGCAGATCCCTGCCAAGGTGGGCCAGGAGAGCCCCTTCCAGTCGCAGCTGAGAGAACTGATCCAGGCTATGCCCGCGAAGGGTCTGCACGGGCCTCTGTGTGCCTGACCCCGAGACGCTGCCTGTGGCTGGGCAAGTCCCGGGGAAATGGGCCAAGCGGACAGGGGTGATCCTGGCGCATTTTCCACCACACCAAGCCCACCCCGAGGCCACCTGACCGGGGAATCGGTAAAATGAGCACCTCACATGACACCCCAGCAGTCATTAGAGACACTGCTGTGGAAATGGCTCTTTGACCTGGAAGATACTCCCGGGGCACTAATGCGAGCAAATGGCTGATCCCGTAACGGGACGCGAGGGAAGGCATGCAACGGGAGCGCTTTTATCCTCTTCTGCTCATCTCTGCTGCCCAGTGCCTTTGCCGGACGCATGTGCTGTTTGTGTCCAAAGAAGTGATAGGAGTTTGTGAGTTTCCATGGGAGTCCTGGAGGGAGGGGCTGCTGCCTTGGTTTTCGGGGTGAGTGAGTTGCTCAGGGAGGCAGGAGCCCTTAAATCTGAGTCAGGGCCAAGTGGGCAGCAGCATCCTTACCCTTCCCATCGCTGCCCCACAGTTTCCTTAGAGCGGGGTCAAGAGGCACAGTGGAGGAGGGAAAAGTCCTGTTGATGGGGTACACACAGGAAACGGGCCTCATCAAAGGGTGACTCAGAGATGAGGATCACTGAGGAACGGGCTGGGGGCGTCCTGGCTCCTCGGTTCAGGGTGTGTGTGGGGGGGGGGGGGCAGGGGGGAGGGCAGCATTGTACCTGAAGGCCCAAGGCAAGGGAAGTATGTGGCGGGAGGCCCCTGCCCACTCTGCCCTGGCACTCCACATGAATGCAGGCTGTGCCCACCTCCCACTCTTCCAGTCTGACTCACCTGAGCACAGCGCCTGTGCTGGGGCGCCCTGCCCCCAGGCTGCCATCAGGAAGGGCTGCTCTTCCCCGCCTGCCCCTCCTCTTCCTCTCCTCCTCCAATGGAAGCTGTTAAAAAGTTACTTGCCTGGCGACGGCTTTCTGACTTCAGTTCTGCCGCCAGCAGGATGGAAACACCCCTTTCCCAGCTGAATCCCATCCGCTTATGGAGCAATTAGCAGCCACGATCTGGCTTTTTTTGTATTTTCTGAGTTGGGCGCAGGGGGGGCAGTGCAGTTATGTCCCCGCTTCCTGGGGAGCACTAGGGGCTTGGGGTCATAAGCAGCCTTGGCCCAGTCCCTCACCCTTCCTCTCTTCTTTTTTTTTCTGTTAAGTATTTTTTTTATTGTCTGAAGTTTTAGCTAAGTCTCCTTTTTCTCCAATTGATACACCCCTCCCCCCAGCCATTCCCACCCCGGGCAAGCCCCCACCGCCCCGTGCCTGTGTCCATTGGTTATGCTAATATCCAAGCATACAAGTCCTTTGGTTGCTCTCTAGCCACCCCCTTTCCTACCATTTATCTTTGGATCTGTTCTTGTTCATCAAAGTATGTTGATTATATCCCACATATGAGTGAGGTCATGTGATATTTATCTTTCTCCAACTGGCTTATTTCACTTAGCATAATGCTCTCCAGTTCCATCCATGCTGTGGCAAATGGTAGAAGTTCCTTCTTTTATATAGCGGCGTAGTATTCCATTAACTCAAAGACAGAATTTCTCCAAGAAAAGACAAGTGGGCCAGCCTCTTTCTTAGCTGAGGGCAGAGGGTTGGCGAAGACACTGAGTCTGCCTGTTGGCAGTGGACAAAGTGAAGCAGGAAGAAGGGATCTTCCATAGCCAGTGGCCACACCAGGCCTGTCCTTCCCAAGTAATTCTCTCTTTTAATCCTCACATGAGGGTGGGTAGAGAGAGGAGGGCAGGGGGAGAAAGAGAGAAATACCAATCAGTTGCCTCCTGCATTCACCCCGACCAGGGATCGAATCTGCAACCTTTTTTGGTGTGTGGGATGGAGCCATGGGGCCAGGCCCCGAGCAGAATCTTGATGGAGCAATCTGTCATGAGACTGGCTGGCCAGCCTGACTCCTCCCCTCCCACAATCCCACCTGGAAGAGCAGGCAGGGCTCAGGGGCCCGCATGGGCGCTGGACAGAGCGGGAAATGGAACTGCTCCTCTTTGGAGGCTGAGCAAATGGGCTGCGTGGGGGCTGGGCTCCCTGGCAGCAGCCTCTGCAGCCGGCAGGCTCCAAGTCTGGTGCTGTTCTGCCTCCTTTTCTTCACGCCTTTCTGGGCACGCGGGCATGTGCAGGTCCCTTCCTCTTGCTACCTCCTGGGGCCTTCTGCCCTAGACATTCTCTGATTGACCTGGGATCAGCTAACCATGGTTACCTTGGGAACATTTCCTGAGGCCACTTTCCCACCCCCTGGCTCACACATTCTCAGCTCCATAGTCCCCAAACCCTACAGCCCTGAGATAGGGGAGGGGAGTGTGGAGTGGAGACCTGGACAAGGGGAGGGACTCCGCCCTCCAGAAAGCAGTGGGAGGACAGCCGTTGTGGCCACCCTCTGGGAACAGGAAGAGGAACTGTCTAGCTGTGCTCAGAAAACAGCAGGCCAGAGGGCTGGTCCCTCTTTTTGCTGCCTCAGGTGTCCACCTGTGCCCTGGGAGCAGGTCGTAAACCAACACAAGGGGACAAAGACCACCCGTCATCAGACCACCGAGGCGGGAGCGGGCATTCACGGGCCACGGAGGCGGGAGCGGGCATTCACGGGCCACGGAGGCGGGAGCGGGCATTCACGGGCCACCTAGACCAGAGCGGGCATTCGCAGGCTGCCGAGGCTAGAGCAGGGCACTGCCATAGTGAACACACTTGATGGCAAGAAGCGAACACCTGCTAAGGCCGCAGAGAGATCTGAGAAGTGGGGATTTGTAGAGGGGATAGGAGGCATTTGAGGAGTGCAAGTATGGGAGCTGGAACTGGGCCTGGGGGCGTGGAGCCCAGGTCCTGTGGCCGCTGCTCTGTCTCCGACCGCTCTTGGGCCAAGGCTCCCCCAGCACGCACTGTCTGGGATCCTCTGTGTCCAACAGGCAGAGCAGGCCGTCCTGCCAATCAGAATGGACCTGCTCCCTCAGGTAGGCGGTCAGCACAGCCCGCAGCACCGCAGGCCACATCCTGAATCTTGGGAGAAAGAAAACAATGGCCCCACTGGAGGCAGCACCCCCAGCCACGGTCCAGCCCTCTGTGCAGCCTAACCTGGTGCCGGTGCGGCTGCTGGGCCAGCACACTGGGCGGCGGTGTGGGGAGTCCTCTGAGCATGAGGTAGCACTCAAAGGGTGCTGGTCACAGTTGTTCCAAAAACCCACCAAATTCATAGACTACTCAATGGGTGTCATTTGAAAGTTTTAGGTGAGAAGTCCATGAAAGGGAATAAAGGGCTACGTTGGAGAGAATATGTTGGAGAATTTCCATCCCCATGAGTCTAGAACCATCTCTGATTTCTTGTCTCTCATTCTTGCATCCAGACAATCAACTGTGCCCTTCCTGTGCCACCTCCCAAGCAGGTCTCCAGAATGGACCATGGAAGCCCTGGCCTGTGTTGCTCAGTGGTTAGAGTGCTGACCGCTGCAACAAAGGGTCGCAGGTTCAATGCTAGGTCAAGGGGATGTACATTGGTTGCAGGCTCAATCCCCTGGCTCCAGTCGGGGTGAATGAATGAGGCATGAGTATCTCTCCCATTCTCGAGGCTTCCCTCCCTCCCTTCCACTCTTAAAAAAAAAAAAAAAAAAAAAAAGAATGCATCATGGAAAATGCAGGTCAGACTATGTGACTCCCTGGCGTCAAGCCCTTTAGTGCTTCAGCGCCCGCACCAGCCTCAGGGTGAGTGAAAGCCATCATCTGTGCCAGATCCCTCACTGGGGATGTGGGGTCTGGGCTGAGTGGGCGGGCTCTCAGCCCCCTGCAGCTTCCGGAAGTGCCTCTCTGCCCTTCCCTGCCCACATGATGCCCCGCCCCCTGTTCTCCACGCCTCTTCTACCCCACTTCTGCCCGTCCTTTAGCCTTGGCTCCGTGCCGCCTTCTCTTGGAGGCCCTGGCGTTCCCAGCGCAGAGAGGGAACCGACGTTACCTGTGCACGCGTCTGCCTCCCAGAGTGTTGGGACTCGTATCGCCCACCTCAGCCCCAGCACAGTCCCCAGACACAGACATGCTCATAAATGTCTCCTGGCCCTGAGGAAAGCGGATTTCAAAACATTCAAAGATAAAACACGTTCTCAAGACCAGAGTTTGGAAATGATGGGAGTGTCTCCAGCAGAAATCTGCGGGCGTGGGCTGGGTGGGCCTGTGAGGAAGGGTGAGCACCTTGTGCCTGGGACGGACTTCCCCAACCTTGCCAAGCAGGAAGGACACGCGTGGGGGTTTGGGCACGTGCTGGAAGGTTCCTGCGGCGGCCACTGCAGACGTGGCTCTCGAAG